AGAATAAAATCTGGATTCAAGTTAACTTCTTTGGAGCCCTAGCCTTCTTGCCGTGCTCCCCAACAAGGTGACCTTCATCCCACGCATGGGCCATGGAAGCTACTCCATTTCAGAAGTCATTGGCGGAACACGTACAACACCGCTACTGCCCATTCCTTCGCCACATTTGCTTTAACCTTAACTAGCCCGCGGTAGTCTTTGCGCACCATTCAAGTGATAAAAAGAAATGTTTCGTAATACATTGAGCATGTTCACTTTTTACTGGAAAATGACAGTAAAAAGTCGGGACGTTGAAAACAGTAAAACTACAAATTATTTGTTGCTTAGATGTAAAAATATTCATAGTTCGCCCCGTGTCTCCCACACTTGTAGAGAAATTTTAGTATTACGAGCGTCGCTACGTGCGGACAAAGTGTCCAGAATCCTTAATGCAGTGGCCACCAAGTTTACAACACCACAACAGGATAACGATCAAGTAACAGCCTCAGTCTGGTGTATCGGAAAGAGAATCGATGTAGTTGCTCGAGCTACTCCGATGGTAGACCTAGAGTAATTTTTCTAATTGCAGGAGACGGCGCCAAGAGGCTCTCAGTGGAAAAAATGAGGGAGAAGTACTGACTGCTCGACCGAGTGACGCTGTATGGCACTGTCCCGTACTCAAAAGTGCGAGATGTGCTATAGCAAGGAGAGTTTTTGCATTGCGATCCTAGATTCACACAGGCGGCAACTTCAAGTGTGTAGCTTGCGGTATATATCACTCCTGCATCTTTTGGGATGAGCTTCTCTATCTCTTCCCTTTTCCTTTAGTTAACTAATTACATGTATGAGAACGCAATGAATGTTTAGTTTTATAGTATAAACATACTAAAATACTAACAATTCCAAGTTGGAATTTCCAATTTTTGATTGATTTTTTTAGATGATTACAGAAAATGTACTCTACGGGTAATAATGTTTTTGATGTTTATCCAGTACGATATTATTTACTTGTATTAGTAGCGTTTCGATGCGTAAATATCCAGAGCTTCCCGGGCAACGCACGGCATTAGTCGTACGACAAAAGCTATTGTCGGACAGAAAAATATTTTCGAATGTGTACGTACTTTTGCGCTACAGAAAAACGGTAGATCAAGCGCTTCTTGCGTGTATTGTGCTATGTGTTTTCCAAAGGTCAAAACCTTGTTTTAGTGACACTACCCTGATTTAATGACACTCTTGCTGGAGTATGTCGCCGCTAGGACACGCCCTGCTGGTGTTGTATCGTGAAGATACCAAAGCTCCGTTTTCTAGTAGTGCTGCGAAGTAGAAAAACTAAACTATAAGTTAAGCAGGTGGCACACCTTATCTCATCGCATAGCTGCTGTAAGGACACGTGATCGGGGAGCCATAGTCCTCTCCCCTTCTGTCGCAAAACTCCGACTGATAGATACGTACTTTACTTTCACTACGTGAACTCAAAAACAAATGCTTCTGAATCACAAGCGCTACGTAAAAAAACAGTATCATTTTTCACGTATCTCTGCTATGTGTTATTGAGCTACATGTATTTCATTTGACGGTCATTCTGAAAGCCTCTATTATATTAGTGGGAAATGCACTCTTCTCGTGGTAAAACCTTGTGTTGGCCGAAGAATTTTTTTTTCTTGAAAGACATCACTTTGCAATGCTTCTGGGTGGAACGGCTGGAGATTTAAATCGAATAGGGAGAGTCGAACCTGACATAAACAGGGCTTATTTAGTTGTGGAAGTTTTTGCTGATATATCAAACGGTTTCGTGCTTATTTCCCCCTAAGGGAATAAGCCACCTCCGGAGGTGGCTTATGTTAAAAATAAGCATCTTATTTTCCTGGAGGGTAAATCGAATACCGTGCAACTTCAATGATGTCATCAATTGCTGAGTCCTCCTCCCTACCCCCGTGTGTTCCCCATTGGGCTGCAACCTAGGCTATTTGTGAGTTTGCGGCTCACACGACACAAGAGTAAGTCAAGGTATCAGTGTTAAATATGTTGTACTCCTTCCGCACACCTTATGTTGCTAATCTGACAGCATTGGTCAACTTCAGCATGATAACCGTACTATCATCCGAAGGGCAAAAGGAAACAGAAAGGCCAAAGCCATTGCCTCGAAGGTGAATCTTACCAGAGACGACTACCGCATCCTCGTTAGTTGGATTGAAGTCGAGACAAACTTCATGGGTCCTCTGGAGTCACCACCGTTGGTGGTGAAAAAAAAGAGAAGGTAAGGAAGAGCACTAACGGTGAGTCAATGAGATGAGGAAGGGCTTGTTGAAAAACCAAAAGTGCGTTTGGGATTGAGTTGATTTAAGCTAGCTACCTCTTCTACAATTCCTGTCCTCACAGCCTCCTATCCCATCTTGCATCCCAGATGCTGAGACCAAACATACCAGAAGAGTCGTAAGATTACGCAACACGCGAGTCGTACAATCCTGCTTGCACCATGTCCCACATGCAATATCCAGTGAACGCAAGCGTGCGACATCACCCATCAACAGGTAAACAAGGAAGAAAAAATGCCTTCGAAATTATGGCAGGACACCTGAAGAAAGAATCAATCAACGACGGCATTCGCAACCTCAGTGCTCGCAATATGCAGCAGCGCTGGATCGCTTACATGCGCCGGTTCAAGACAACGCTGAAGACAGTGAAAGTGAGACTGGTCTTGGATTGACCAAACGTGAGACGGAGCAAAGGGACTCGCTCACGGAAAAGCTGGAGCGCGTGTGCCCTGAATTCCAGAGAATGAAGACTCTGTTTGGAAGAAGGGCAAACATTGCGCCGTCATCCACGATTGAGCTCTTTGTGCCCTCTTCTGCAGTTAGCTTCCGAGTCCATTGATTCCGATGTGTGGATGAATTCGGAGGACGAGTATCCATGTGATGGTAGTCACGATATGGGCAGCGGTGATCTGACCTTCATCCAACCTGCTCAGTCGCAGCTAGTGTCGCCTTCACCTACAGCTCCTACGTCACCAGCTCCACGAGCATCTTCCCCCCTCCGGAAACTCACCTTCTTCTTTCGGGCCAACTTCAAGCCCATCAGAGCTGTTGACGGCTCCAGTCTCGTCGAGCGTATCAGAAGCCTTGTTAGCGAAGTCATCGCATGTGACCACGCGTGAAACACGCCGCCCTCAACCCCAAAATGCTGCCAAGGAAAAACCCAATCGTGATTCGAAGTCTAAACTACACTTAAGTCGTCTGTCATTATCGAGTGCGCCCAAGCAAAAGTAGATTATTTGAGAGAAAAGTTGAACGAAGAGAAACGACAATGGGCAGAAGCGTGAGGCTGAGAAGCTTCCAAAGGAGGAGGAATGCGTCTTCGCGAGCGTGAGAATGAAGAGCGATGCGCAATGCGCAAACACGAACTTGTTCTGGAGTTACTGCGACAGCGCAAGTCGGTCAAGGACATCGAGAAGTTTGTATAGAAAGTTAGCTGATCAGTGAGCGCCTGACAACCGGTGCGCTAGCACCCGGCCATGCGAGTCTAAACGAACAGTTGAGGTAAATTCGATCCCATTGATGCACACAACGTGCACGCGTGTGGTGAACTCAATGCCAGCCACACTGACGCCGATGCCATCCTTGTGAGATAGTCAACAGCAATCCACTGCCTGTAGTAGATACAGTAGCACAACGCAAAAAGATTCCATACATTTCCTGCTCATATCAACTTTTATGAAGAGGCCCTCCAGCACCTTCTTCAGCAGTTTCAGCATCGTGAGAGAAGTCGGTCATGTTCACAATGTTCAATACGTTGGTACTCGAATGCTGAATGACTGACATCTTCGTCTGCTGAGTTGCCATACACGTTTCCAGCCGTTTTCCAGCAAAGGGTTGAGCAGTCTTGAGCCCGTATTGCCATTGTTGACATCCTGCTTGTGATCATACGCCTTCCGATCTGCACTCGCTTTGGAGAGAGTAAGTGGAACCGCCAAGAAGAGCTGATACGGTTGCGGCACGAGAGGCTTCTGTCGTACAGGACATGCTGCATGGGCTGTTGGTTTTGATGCTATTCGCAATTTCACGTGACTCCTCTTGCTTATATAGATCACAGAGAACGGCTGATTTAGATGGCCACTTCTTGCTGATATAATGTTGCTTATTTTGAAGGTTCGACTTCCCCCAATATATATGGAAATAATAAGCCATTCTAATTGCTTTTTTAGAATTTGTTTTTGCTGGTGTCAGGTTGTTACGACAAGAGTATTGATTGAATAAAAGTACCAATACTGGAGGCGGAAAAAGCAAGGTTTGTGATCACAAATCGCAAACAAACTTTATCACGATATGCAAAACGATGAATGATTACTGATTACTGGAGGAGAGCATATTGAAACACTAATATAACATTAGAAGACGTCTCTGGGCGAAAAAAAAAATCCACAACATGGACGAGCTGGCTCAGTGCGTGTGATATGTTTAAAAACGCGTGTGGGTCGAACGACAAACGTAACAACAGTTCGAGTGGATGCTAAGATCAATTTTTCTAAAATCCAAGTGCATTATAGTCTTCAACATTGGTTTTAGGTGTGTGTGTGTGGGGGGGGGGGGGGGGGGGCTTCCTATTGCGTTCATAGTTAAGGGTCCCAGGCGGTGATATTTATAAAGGCGAGCTTCATAATACCGTTGGTCTAATATTACATCACTCAGAACAACGCTTGGATGGATGCGGATTTACGCTAGTGATGTGCTGACACGTGATTTGGACGGACATGCCGTACAACAATTTTGATGGCCACATTTCCGAGAAGGGGGGGGGGGGGGGGGGTACTTGCTAAAAACATATCCGCCATCGTATAGGCATTGTCAGATAAATCACTTCAATGTTCCAGCCCCTCAACATTCAAATCAGAGCTGGAAGCATGTGGACAAATCAAAGGTCCGATATCCAGCAATAACTCCCGTAAAACAACTAGATATTATCAGGCGTACCACCACGATTTAGGAGAACATTCTGGAGGCACTGTGGCCGGGATCTCTGATAAAGTGATCCCTCGAAGGTTTGATACGAGTTTCCTCAAAAAGAAGTAGAAAAGCGCCAGCAGCAGCAAAAGTTTCTGAACTGGTGAAAGTAAAGTTGATCTGTTTTAATTGTGAACGCCACAATATAATCATCAATGCAATGTTGGCAAGAAATAAACAATCATATTTAGGAGAAGTGATGTAGACGTGCTTGGCGGATGGCATTTGGAGGTTGTGTTACGACGCCTTCCTGACCCGATTCGGCAGTGCCAAAAACAACGCGACTAGTGTTGAAGCATGGCTCTGTTTGCTACTAAGATGAGGCTCCGCCATGGCAAGGTAAGATCTATGGAGCTGTGCATAAATAAGGCAGATTCAAACAGAAGGTGAGGAAGAGCGCTCAACCCGGGCATTAATCAGTATGTCGGCCAGTTAGTATACATATATAGGCTGGTCCACCTAAACGACGAACGCACTATGGAATTTGTAATCTCAAGCACGAGTTCGTTTACAGGGACTCTGTCGCAAACCATAATATCAACTTCAGCCTGTTAATAATGAAGATGCTACGCGAGAAACGGTGCGGATAATTTTGATTCTCTAAATATGTGGGCAAACGGGATACATGATGTTGGGGCGTTTTGTTGTCGTGACACCCCAGTATGTACAGCCACCGACTTAGAAGTATATTAAATGGGCAATTTTGGACTGGATTAAAGCTTTCATCCATTGCCGTCAAGGAATAATAGAGTTTCATGATAGCCGAGACAAACTACATCAATGACTTGAACCGGCTTGAATGATAAAGCTATCGCTTTCCAAAATTTGCAAGCTGAGCGCTCTTAATATATGAAGATAAGGGTCGATTTATAAACTTTACCCCACCTCAACATCAGTCTTGTGTCTGAGTTGCTTGTGTTGATCTCTGCATTGACTGGTTGTGTCTCGTACTACTGCGTCAATCACATACATCGTAAGACCTCCACTCCGTACGACCGCTTCAAATTTGCTTGAGTCTCGCGCGTGAACTCGGTGTAGCGGTGCTGGAGATAGCCACGCTCTGGCGCTTCGGTGAAAGATAAGGACAATAACACTTTGGTAACTTCTCTATGGTATCGAGACATACCCGTCACCGAAGTATACAGTGACTGCGTGAGGACGGGGGTGCAGACTTCTGCAAATTTGAAAAAGCGTTTGTCATAGAAGCAGAGTTGATGCAATTCGTCACTTGCGATTCGCATAAAAAATTATTTTAGAGTGTCCTTGCCCTGGTCTTTCACTGAACCGCTCGAGCGTGCTCTCGACAGGCGTGGCTTCAGACGTCCAAATATCTATCGAAGGGGGTTTCAAAGAAATGAGAATAAATTGGTTGTAAATTCCAAACCAATCTTCTCGGACACAGCATTGCTCTTAAGATAGTCAGTCACACACGGGATTCCGATGCTAAATGGAGACATTGTCTATAATGAAACGCGTTTTTGACTTGCCTGGCTTTTTTTGCATGAACGTTGTCATCAATTCCGTCATGCCAAGCAGGTTTCTTTGGTGACACATCCCTCTACAATCTCGAAATAAAGAGAAAGAGAGGAGGAATGTATTAGTGTGATATGTTGCGGGCTGGTGGTGGAAGGTTCATCAGGAACTGTCGGAATCCGGAGCCGGCTGACCAAGCTTTCCCATTTAGGGCGTGGTCGGGAAAGGATCAGCTCGGTTCAGATCGTCTTCTAATCCTAACCCTAAGCTGAGGTGGTCAGTTTGCCTCGGACTTCGAACATTGACTCGGAGTCATATTACAATAAAACCACCGCTCAGAAAGTAGCGTTTAATAACTGAGTACCATGGCATTGGTGGAAGAAGCTGATCCTGAATTAAACAGCGTCGAGGGGGGGGCCCGGCAAATACGAGGTCGGATGTGATAGGCGCTGGAGTCTCCTTGGTTCGCGAAGCAGCAACAAGAGCCACAGCAGCTCGCGGCCCAAACGCCACGTGGAGTGACGACGTCGTCGAAGCGTTTTTCAGGATTCGTTACAAGAGATTAAGCTCGCACTTCAAGAACACGAAGGATCTGAAGAGAATCCAGTACGCCTGGTCAGTCCTGGCGTCTACGCTCTCCGTTAATCGCCACAAAGTGTTTACCGATCAGCAGTGTCAAGCCGAGGTAACCGGAGGCCTAGTGTCAAATGAAATACTTGCTAACCTAACTGATGATGTGTATGCTTTGTGGGTTTCATCAAGATGAAGAACATGAAGCAGAAATGGACTTCAGCTCGGGCAGAGGAAAGACAAACAGGCAATGGAGGCCCTGTCCGTCGTCCTAACCATTTTTGCATCATGAAAGACTACTGGGGCGATGCGACGGGCATGAACAACAGACCTCATCTCAGCACCGAAGACACGGACACTATTGCAGCTGCACGAGAAGCCAGCGGAGCGACATCACTGCCCTCATCCCCCGATTCCCGTTCAAGACGTACCAATATCGCGCGCAGGTCCCTCTACCAAGCGCTAGAAGCGCAGCCAAGGTGAATGCGTTGAGGCCGGATTAGGTACCGTTGCCAAAGGATTTAGTGAGAGGATGGAAGCACTTGCAAAAGGACTAGCCCAAGTGCGAGACGATTGTGGTGAAGGGCTTACTGCAGCTGTGGGAAAACAGACAAACGCACTACAGGAGCAGGGTGATCGCGCTAATGCCCAATCCGATCAACTTGTATTTCAAATGCAAACTCTGAATGAACAGCTTAGAGTGCAAAACGAATACATTCGAGAGCTGCTGCAGTTTATTCGTCACGAGTACCAAGCAACCGACAGTAACTGCTAGAGTTAATTTGTCGAAAATACGAAGCTAGCACGCTAAACAGAATCAAATGATTCAGTGAAATCCAGAATTGAATCGCGCCTGCTCGTAGCAACTGATCTAAGAAAAAAAAAACAGTAGTATCCAACACGTTCGAACTCATCGCTTCATCGTCGTCTGTCCCCGTGCATGTCCCTTCTTCTTCGAAGACTGTGTCATCCTTGGTGTCCAACAATATATTGTGCAGTACCATTGTTGCAGCTATGACGTCGACCGCTTTTTCAACATTCCGCGTGTTTAGACAGCAATTGGCAATTCTAAATCGGCCCTTCCAAAGCCCGAAGGCACGCTCTACCACCGTTCTTGTCCGTGAATGCAGTTAATTGTAGCGAAGCTGCTTGCGTGTCAGACCAGCGCCATCTTTCCCCACAAAAGGTGTCATAATTGCCGGGCTGAGAGCGTACCCAGCGTCACCAAGGAAGTGGGTTTAAGTTGGCAAATACTTGTACGTAGATCACAACGCAGAAGCACACCATATCTTCTGGTCTGACTATGAACCTGGCCGAACCTCCACGCTAGTAAAGCACATACGGTTGTCCACAACGGCCTGCACGTTCAACGCTGGGAACATCTTCCTACAGTAGTAACCTTCGAAGTCGACCGGCCTGTTAATCTCCACTAATGAGCCGTCTATCGCTCCAACTACACCTGGTATCCCCCCCCTTTTTTTGCTTGAAATGATTCTCGCACTTGAGCCCAGCTTTCAGTGCATCGAGGAAAACGGTCACAACTTGTGCAGCGATTGCCGTAATACACGTCAAAAGACAGCAATCACATCGATTGCCCATGATTTCGATATAGCGAAGGCAGCAGTAGTTTCTCGGTATCCACCCTGAGAACCCAAGAAAAAGAGCAGGCAAGCAACCTTCTCTTCAACCGGGTGCTCCTTTATAAATCGGTCAAGCTCGTACTTTTCTTGTTCGTGGCGAAGAAAGCCACAAAGGCGCAAGAACGCGGCTTGGTCACAACGTAGATTCTGTCGAAACCACTCGTCATACCGATCAGATAGCATAGCAGTAAATTCTAGAGAGCTTAGCGTGAGTATGTTTTCTTTCTTCGTCGGGAGAGAGGAAGCGGAGGTTTGAGCAATTGCTACGAGAGCACCCGTCGCTGCCGTGGCAGCAGCGGTAGCAGCGATCAGGCAGCACTCCACGTTCATATGTCACTATTTTGATATTATGCCACCCAGACGATAGTCTCCAGTCGTCTTAGTTTGGGCGATTTGAATCCAAACAGCTGAGCCGATCGAGCTTTCCGTCAGCCGATCAGGTTTGAGATTCACATGTTGCCACATCGTTGAAGACGATCAAAAGTGAGCCGATCGTTGCCCGACCACGCCCTTATAGGCCTGGAAAGCTTCATTTCATCAAAGTAGACAGCTTTAACAACGTATTCTGGCCAAACTTTGCATGGCATAGTCGAAGCGAATATCAATACACAATCCGAATTGTGATGTTATGAAAGCCACCGAGCTGAAATGCAGCCTACTGTTTCAGGTACCGTGATATTGTTTTCGTATTGTTAAATAAATAGTGACTATTTATCCCGATTTGGCAAACTTTCATCGACAGACCTTTTCCAATCTGTTGGTTCATACCGAAACCAGTCGATGTAAAGTGTATACAATGGGTGTACCGTTTGTCAGCTACGAAAGCTTCTCCCTCTTTCCTGGCGAAACGCGGCTTGTCATCCCTAGAACCATGGATATGCGGACGCGTGCCCCAGAAGTATTCTCTAGCAACGGACGGGGCCGACAGTAGTGAGAGCGATGTGTCAAACCGAGGAATGGCAGCCAATGGAACTTTCGAGCGCTGAGGAATCAATCAGCTGAGACTTCATCGCGTGTGGGCGACGGTAGTGGACCGAGGCTAGTCGTGGTCCCACCGCCAAGAGAGAGGGTGTTCTCGTTTATTCGTAAGAGGTACTAGAAAGTTACCTGGGCACTTACACGGCGCTGGCGCTAAGGTGCACTTCCCCATAGCTGCGAAACAGCTCATCTCGCCCTTATTGATTAATTTAACCCTTTCGTGAAAGAGTACTTTTGACCTGGCTATATTATAGTATAGAAGGTCAAGTCATTAGGCCATCAAAGGGGGCATTTTGCCCCCTTTCATAAACTACGGTACTACAGCAAATCTTCTGCAAGTCCTTGTAGTTCAAGTAGAAAGGGCGAATCCACCTCGTTCATACACAAAAAATAATGAAAGGGGCGTTTTGCCCCCATTCGTGGGTGACACAAGTGGTACTCAAGGATACGCCCTCCAAAGGGGGCAAAATGCCCCCATTGACCACGAAAGGGTTAATTGGCAGGTACCTGTACTTACTCTTATCCATGGCGGTCTTCTGCGAACATATCTTCTCAACCGTCGTGTACCGGACAGCTCGACCTATCTGGTGAAGAGCTTCCCTGGGATCAATATGGTAAATTTCGGAAGGCGTTAACCGCTGCTACAGCAATATGTGATGTGGGTCTGGATGTCTCAGTACCGCGAGGCCCTGAAATGTCTCGAGAGGCTATTCCAGACCCACTCTACCCGCAGCAAGCTCGAGACACGCCGCAGAAACGCAAGTTTCGCCATCAGGTGTCGACTCAAGTGGTCGGTCAATAGCTTCGTTGAGCTCGTCTGCAGTGTTAAGTCGGCCGGGCTAGTTAGGTAACCCGCGTGGAAAGTCGGGCATGATAAAGGTCACGGATCTTGGAAGACGTAGAGCTTGTAGGAAGCGAAGGGAGGAGTCACCACTCGGAGAAGAAGACCGGAGCGAAGACCACTTGAGGGGAAGAAGGAAGATTCTGAAGTGATTGATTTATCGG